GGCCTAAATGAGTTTTTTCTTCCAAACAAAAAATTGAGTGCTAGGTTGAGTATCAAGGGTGTGTGATGCTTTGTTAAATTACATTCAAATATAAATAAATACTTATTTAAATACGATTACTAAAGGTTTATTCTGGCTGTGAATTACCCCATTTCAAATATGTGTGACATAGATTACAGCTGTGAATCAACACATGGCAACTATGTGTGACTTTAAATAGTGTTTTGTTTTGTTACTTTTACAACTACAATCATGCTGTAATTCAATTAGCACTAATAGGGTCCTTTCTGTTGAGTGTTGTGAATGCCAAGGTAAGGTAATGATTTAATTAGGAAACACACATGGCTTGCAAAAACATTAGGACCTTCATAATCCGATTAAAAATACATTGTTCATTTATTTGGTAACCCTTTGAAAGGAACCGACAGGCTAACAAAATATTGTAAGGATTCATTCAGAGAAACGATTCACTGCCAAAAAAGACAAGCTTCACTAGAGTGGGGGTGTTCCTAAAGGTATGAGAGATCGAATATGAACAACTTTGAAGAATTAAATACCAACCAGCTGCATAGTTTGAGCTATGATTATACAACTCTGGACAGTCAACATTGCAACAATATTTATTTGGTCATCACATAGTCTAATCCATGATCATTTTGTTTCAAGGTATATGGATTCTTTGATATATGAAATGAACGAAAGAGGGGAAGCTTTTGTATTAAATGTAACCAGAAATAGCACTGACAAACATAAACCAGAGAGCGAGTTCATCGAGTTGGCTAAATCTCCCCTTCATCCATCTTGTCAAACATTAATAGGATGTGATGATGGGTTGTCAGCTAGCAGCTTTGCCAACATACTATCCAAGTGCTGCTTGAATGTGAGATGTTGGTGTTTGTAGGTGTTAAGAAAATGCACACATTTTAAGTCGAATTAAACAAACAGGACTGATGGTAATTGTCAACAGAATTATTAACATGTAATTTGAAAGATCAGGCAATGATTGTGCTCTAAAAAAAAACTCATACTAACTGAAAGGCTTCTCAGAAAATACACAGAGGGAAGTGAGTGGGCCTTTTGCCGAGGCCAACTGCTAACATTTAGAGCCCCAGCACATTGTTAGTATACTGGCAAAACTGGGCACCTAACAGAGAAAATCCACTGGCTCCAGTTAACAGCTCACTGGATTCAGGCCATCGAGATGTCTTTGTTGTTAAACCTGCACATGTGTTGCTCAGGATGCATGGCCTATACGAGTGGTTCTGTACAGAAGACAGACATATAATTACAACTGTGACTGGCACATTCACTTTTAATAAGAGACGACACAGAGTTAACCATTTCAGTCTTGAATAAGGCCCCGCTCACACGGGACCGTTTGCGTTTATGCACAGTATGCGTATTCAAAAAAGTCTTCCGTTCACATGCATTAGTTTCATTTAACGTGTCTGTTCAAACGAGGCCGCTGGAAACGCTGTAGTACATATGCTGGGACTGTAAGTGGCGCTGTAACTTCCGCCAAAATACACCAAAAGCCGCGAAGAAGAGCAACCGAGCAGCCCTGCTGCAATGTTGCCATGGCTACCCTTCTGTTTAAGCCCCGAAACTGAAACTGAAACTGAAAGAAACCGAATCTGTGGATATTGCATCCCGACCAAGAAGGTCTCCGTGGAGAGGACGGCTCAGAAAGAGAGATATATTCTCTACAAACACCGGGGGTGAGATCCTCCTTTGTCAATATAATGGATCAATGCATGAAATCTGACTCTGTTTATTTTGTTTAAGGAGTATATTGGGCGTTAACAATTCTGGTTTGCCTTTTATAATATTATTTCATTCAAGAACCCCTTGTGCGTTTAATTAACACAGCTATTTTTGATAGTTTCTACAGCATGAGCAGGGAGAGGTGGGGAAGGGCCGGGGACTAATCGTTATTTTTCAGGAAATATTCGTATCGAGGTGATTACACGGACTCGGTTGACCCCCCAGAGCGTTTCGTTTGCAAATCTATCCACCTTGGGACCCGTTATCGTTTGTGGGGTCAGTTTCTATCGGCCTCGTGTAAATAATAGGGCTATACGCACGCGAAACTATGCAGATACAAGCAGTTTTCTCCTCGTGTAAACGGCGCCTAAGTAAGTTGCAGTCAGTTTGCCACCACTTCCACACAGCCAACTAGAAGCATTTATCCCACATAGTTGTTTATCAGACAGCTTATCAAGAAGAGTGGCAAGTGTTTGGGTGTGAACTTGTCCAAGGAGGAGGAGAAGCTCGCAAATACACTTTGCCATCTCCAAGCTTACAAAAAGCTTTAATTCCGCTAGGAAAAACTATTTTTATTTTCTTTAAGCATGTGCAAAATAAACAACTGGGAATGTTCAGGCTTGAAAGAGAGGGACTCGAGCAGGGTGACAGAACAGAGTGAGTGACATATTCACTGTTGTCATGCACAAGGCATTTATAAAAGTAAGGAGAAAAGCCTCAAACATATCCAAACTAAATGAAAAACTTCTGAGAGTAACTGCAGTGGCTTGTGAGAGATTTTGGCATAAGCTGTCCCATTGCACCAAGAGCTATTTTTACAGCAAATACCCATGAGAGCGAGCGAGAACAGCACTGAGTTGAAGCAAAGCCACTGGCTCTCAACTTTGATCATTTCCCGGCTCTCTCCCAAGTGCTTTAAATTTCTATTTCCGGGGTGTATCTTTAATAAAGTATTAGCAGGAATCAAATTTCATGCAGATGGAGTTCATGTTTAATGTGAGAGCTCAGGACAACACAGGCACTGTTGTAAAAATGGGGGGGGTGATTTGGAGTTGGGGTAGTGGCATTTGCGCAGAACATTTCCTTTACAATGAAAACAATCTAACCAACTGCAGCACTCAGAGGAATTCACCTCCCATCCCCCACGCCCCACCTCCCTTCCTCCACCACCACCATTACATTACCATATCAAAGCCCTGAGTTCAGAGCAAGTCTTCTCTTTCAAGAATGGGAGCGAGGCAGAGGGAGGGAGGGGGAGAGGACAGACCGAGGCAGTAGGAGTAGACCCAAGACCGAGCTTGCTTTTATCCCTGTTCGGTGTGTGCGCATGTGTGCAAGGGAAACATAGTGTGGTGTGTGTGTGTGTGTGTTGTGTGTGTGTGATGTGGTGTGTGTGTGTGTGTGTGTGTGTGTGTGCGTGTGTGTGTGTGTGTGTGTGTGTGTGTGTGTGTGTGTACCGACTCAAGAGCATGTTTGTTAGTGAAAAAAGACTGCAGAAAAACCTGTGGAGATACTAGAGGACTACTGATTGGGTCTTCTACAAGCTGCACTGAAGAGAAGTCAATTCACATTCCAGAGGCACATAATGGGGCCTGCAGGGGGTCTGATGGAGTAGCAGAGAAATGCCAAAGCAGGTACACAGTGCAGTTAGGAGGGGCACTATGTGGCAGATGGCCAGCAGAGCACAGGCAGAGCCACAGATCTCTACATCTCATGGTTGGCATATTCACCTCCAGCATGAATCTATAGTGATCCTAGCTCTATGCCTGCTTTGTTCTTCTGCTCAGCTTACTGTAAGAGTACTCACAAACCCTGGCTCTCGTTTGCCGGGAGACTAAATGTGAAAATCAAAGTGAATGGCATTAGGGTAAATAAGACCACTGGTTGCCTGGGAAACAGTGTACCCTGCCCCACTCACTCAAGCCTAGCCTTTACTTTTGTCCAATCACTGGAGAGCAATAATACATTATTGACAGAGGGCCACAACAGACAGCAGTGCAGTATTTTCAAATTGTATTTGAGAGTTTTGATGTTAGGAGATACAACAGGCTACTGAAAGAGAGAAAGGCACAAAGAGAGAGAAGAGATGGGAGATACTGGCAAAGCGAGAGAATTCAAAAATGCACCCCCTTTACACTACCATAACCATCAATCTGCCACCTATAGCAGGCCTGCGCCGTACAACCACACTGGAATCTGTAAGGTGGCTCACTCGAATCGCAGACAAGATGAGAATAATTAGCGTGTTTACTTTGAATACTTTTGTGACTTAAAGCCATTTTGTGACATGTACATATTCAATCATTTCCATCAGATCACGTGCATTTGAAATTCAGAATCATTTGTTTGGACGATTTCAGAATATTTTCCTCTTGCTTTGCATGTGATGTTTAGATAAAGGTACTGCATTGATGTGCATATCAATGTATTCCCAATGCACACTTACCCTACATTGTGTGGTGTAGCTTTTTTTAGAGGTGTCTCTCTGTACTGAGATAGCATAACTGCTTGAATGTAACACAATAACCTCTGTGGATTTGTTCATATCTGCCTGCTGTCAACTAGCTGTGTGTGAACTTTCGTTTGGAATCAGGTTGAATTTCTTTATCACATCATTTGGATATGATAAATTGTAATAGGGGTATAAGTAATATATCATGACCCTGCTTTAATAAAGTAAGTATTGTGGTGACAGTCAACTACATTTCCCAATGTTTGGGATCAATAAAGTGTATATCCATCTATAGCACTGTATTTTTTTTTTGTTGAAAACTGACAGGAAAGGTAAAAATGGGTAAGGCATATCTCTGCATTCAGGTAATACAGGTCAATATGGAAGACAAAATTGCTATTTGGGATACATGCAAGAGAACTCAAATGTGTAAACATATTCAGCAGCAGGTTCTGCAGTCTGTGTCTCAAGTTCCAAAGCACCAATCCACTGAAATGAGTTTCAGATGGTCTGTGTGCAGAGCCGCCAAAAATACGTTACGTTTCTATATTTACTCGGGCAACGGAAAAAAACAGTAATGCTTATTTAAAGTGATCTTCGACCAAAAGATGAACAATGTGTGCAACTGAATCAGTTCTGTAACCAATTAAACCGTTTCAGTGCAAGGTTGTAAACAAGTAACTTTGTGTCGGGGAAACTGTAACAAAGGCACAGTACAGCTCCACACTAGGTTAACCTGAGCCAACTGGGGAACACAAACAGAGCGAGTGAAGTAGAAACTTACCCGTCTTCTCTTTGATCTCACAGAGAACGCTGAAGAGGGCTGGCTTCATTCTGTGACAGTTCAGGGCATGCTTCCTGTAAGAGAGAACAGGGAATAAGAGAGGGAGAGAGCGAGGAGGATTACGATAAGCAGACCTCCATCTCAAGTCATTCCATGTCCTCCCCCATTCAAAACAGGTAGAGGAGCTGTATGTATTATGCATTCAGTATTTCAAGAAGTGAAGTGCAACAGAGCCATGTTGTGCAAAGGCATTTTCAATAAGCGAATGCCATTGTAGTGCAGAAACATCCCTGATGCGTCAATCTGAACTAGCAAGAGTAATGTTGTCATTTGGATGCTTCGCACTGTGGGACAGGTAATGATGCCAAACCTCAAGGTCATCATTACTGAGCACCAGATTCCACAGTTAATACACAGTAATCTCATTTCTAGCCTACAACAGAAAGACTTGTTCCATAAAAGTAGATGGTGAGTTGATAGAGAGGATTAAGATAAAGTTGCACATTTAATTTAATCAGAATTATTGCCATACAGGCTAAAAGCAATTAAAAAGGAGGAAGGGCGAAACTTCTACAGTTCACCGTAATCAAATCAGAACACCTGAGCAGCAACATTTTCTAGTAATACACATGCATGCACCCATACAGCTTACTCGTTGATTAAAACGTGTAAAATGTAAATGCTGTAGCAAAGACCCGTTGCTAAAAAGACCCTAAGTTATTTGACAGTAGTCTAACATTAACTTTATGACAATCGTGCACACCAATTATATCAGAGAGGGCGAATGCATATAGCACAGCATAGAACTGCACTTTGAAGATATATTTGTGCACATTCAAAGACTTAATGAAACAACTTACAAATACATTTAACTATGCATGCATCACAAGCATGCACTATACCCATGTAGCCCAACATTTTTAAATTATTGTTTTGATTGTCAGTAAGGTGTTGTTTCTATAGTAACTGTGTGGCCACAGTTTGCAGTGCAGCCTTATATTGTAATGTGTTTTGAATGTTGTGCACCCCCTGTTTTTTAACCATTATTTCTATAGATGTATAAAAACACAAGCACATGGATGGGTTCTAGAGAGTTTTACAGACCACAAAAGATAATTTAGTGAAAAAGAGATTTTAGTGGCAACAACCACATTATGTAAACATGCAAGTGCAATATACAGTTAACGTTTATGTAAAAAACAAAACCAGCATGAGGCCTCCATTTCTGATGAGCATGAATAGGGAAAAATGGAACAAGAAAGCCTTGAAATACCTTTCCAAATAACATTACTAAGAATACATTAAAAACAACCACGGATGAACATGATTTGGCTACACCTGACCTCAACACCAATTCCAGTTGTGAATGACCACTGCAGTATTTATGGGGACTATGAGGACTTGCATATAGTGCGCCTACTGTATTTGCACGAAATAATGCCTTTCTGTGAGTATATTCTGTGTGGCAGTGTAATTTAAAGGGGTTATGTGTCTAGCATTAAGTATGTAATTTAGTTCACCAATTAAGTCACTGCTGGATTGAGTTGGGGGAGGGCTGCCTTCAGCATGGAGGGTATGAGCAGGAGGGGGAGAAGGAGGTGCTCATGCGGTCCTGTACTGACCTGTGCTGGAAGTTGAGTGGCAGGCCACCCCCTGCCATGCCCCCCCCTGCTCTCCCTCCCTCTGTGGGGTCGTCTGATCCACCCCAATGCGCCGGCGATTCCTCTGGCCAGCATCTGAACATATGGCGACAGGGTGAGAGGATGAGGGTGGATGGTGCGCAGGAAGTGTACTCTGCAACACCGAGGTCGTGCGCTGCCCTGACCACTCCCCATCCCTACACACTGCCACCCTGCACGACAAGGGTGTCACGCTCACATGTGAGCAACCACACATTTACTTGTAGACCATGGCGGAGGGAAAGATGGATGTGTGGGCGACAAACTTGATCAGAGACAAGTATGATGTTGACAAAGCCTGTACAATTTAAGTCACATCATACATTATAAACCTATTTGAAAACAGATTGCGTGTAGTCCTCAGGTCTGATTCTATTTTGTCTGAATTAAACATGATAACAGAATTAGAAAACGGCTTTACATTACGACACTTAGTCCAAGCTAATCCATCAGCTAACGCTAAAAACATACTTTTCACCAGATGAAAATATTATTAACAAAATTGCCTAGATAATATACATGTTATGCACATGAGAGCAGCAAAGGCTTTTCCACTGAAATGCCAAAAGGCTGCATTATTTTTAGTATAAATCCTGCACATATGGTACGAGGAGGACATGCTCTGAGTGGGAGTTTAGATCAATACAAGCGAACAGCAAGGACACCTCTGGCAATTCAAAAGCAACCACACCTTTAATTAGTTTTCAGAATAGCCTGTTAACATGTTGTAATAAAAAGGCCTGCTAAATGATATCCTACTATGTAATTGGCCCATTCAGATACAAATAACTGCATTTTACATAACAATCACAAATCAGATTTGAAAAAGGGAAAAACTGTGGGAGGTAAAAAATATAATAGACAGTAATAAATATTCCAAATCAAATATTGTGCATGTGTCAATGACATAAAGGCTGATTAAGTCCTCAAACTTGTACTGAAGAAAAGGTAATATCCCAGTGTTCATAGGCTGCTGGTATAGCATCATCCCTCCCCCTCACCACCATCTCATTAATAGAAACTCGATTTGCGGACAGCTGCACTCGCGTACACATTATAGGAGAATTGATTGCACCCAGCACACAATGAAAAGGATGAACACCAGGGAGGGAGGGAGTGAAAGAGGAGTGAATTAATTAAGAGAACCAGGTGGTCAAATGTTGGGTGGAAAATCACTAGCTAATGACACATCACACTGTGGACACAGTCTTGCAGTGGACGGTTGTCTATTGTTGAAATACTGTCGCTTAATCTGAAACTGACCTTATGCTCCTTGAGCCACATGGCAAATGAGTGCGGGTCAGAATGCATATTCCTCTCAATAATTATACATAAAATACCCCCAACGCAAACATTAAGTGACGAGTCATTTAAATGAATGATTGTTGTCATCATAGACAGCACTGGGCTGATACGTGGGGCAACTGGGTAATCCTTCCTTTACCTTAAATTATCAGCTCATTTGCATTTCAATGAGTTGTGTTATCGACACTCCTTTGATGTAGAGCGGCATTTTCAGATACATGTTATAATTAGGCATATCTAATATGCTATAGTCTGATTAGTAATACGTGAAGGATTTGGAAACATTATCAGAATAGCTTACTTTGTTTTACTCAGATAGCTCTTGCAACTTTTAACATGCCCTATATATAAAGCATTTTGTGCGTTATTGAGGTACTTCTGTGTAGTTTTGGGGTAAAGAAAAAAAAGTCTCACTAAAAAGGTATATTATCATATGGGAAGATAACAAAAACTAATATTATTTGGAAGATCTTATTTATTAATGCTGGGGTATATGACTTTTTTTTTTATTTAACTACTACTGCTGTGGCATAACAAAACTCATGATTTGCTTAACCAAGAAATAGATGCATGCAAAAAGCTTTAATTTGAGCAAGTGGTAACGTGCATTACAAACGTCCACCATTATAACAGACTCAAAAGGGGATTCAAACTTTTTAATGTATCACTTCATTGATTTACCTTTACACTTTAACGTTATCGCCATTGTTCAATCAAGTGGATATGTTTACACACAATAGTACACAATAAAGCACGAATTGAAGTAACAAAGAACCTAATTTCAAACTACAACAGCCTGGTAATGTGGGTGTTCAAGTTATTTTGTATGTGAACGTATTGGTTTAGCAACGGATTGCAACGTAACGTGAAGTTGACTTAATGTAGCAATTACGCATTATCTTAACTTACGTGAACGTTACACATAAAAGCTTGATCACTAAAGCAAACATAAGACCCATTTTAGCTTAACTATCATGTGTGGAAAATGGCTCTTCGCCCGTCTTACCTGGCCTGTGCTTCGTCCAGGCTTTCGTCGGTGATGGCCATTATTTGCTGTAGGATATCCCCTATGTCTTGTTGAGGTTGGCCGAGGGACTGCTGTTTTCTAACCGAGTCTGGATCACCGACATCGGCTTGTGCTAGTCCAGCGAGTCCTGTGAGACCCGTCAGCATCCTGGTCTGGTCATCCATACTTTCAAAGAAAACTCGACTCGTTTTCTTCAGTCGAAGAATACACACAAATAGCTAGCCTGTTAGCTAGCCAGCAAAGTATATTCTACGACCAATCATACAACAATTCTTACCGTAACCGACAGCGACCACTAGAAAATAGTTAAGGGCTGGTGTCATAAACAGATCACACAAACACGCTTTACATTCGCTTGTGTTTTCCCCCTCTAGTCAATAAACGCGGCCAGGCTAACGTTAGCTAACCACCGAATGAAAAGCAGCTAGGTTAGTAGCCGTAGCCCAGCAGAAAAGCAGCAGGGACACACATGCACAGACTGTGTGAGCTGGCCAACAGCGCCTCGCACATTTTCGAAATAAAAAAAAAAAAAAAAATGGCAATAGACGACCACTGTTGTGAAACTAAAGCTCGCAAATACAAAAGAAGAAATAAGACGCGCAAACAGCCACTAAGCTTGTCTAGCTCCAATCAGCAATCTCCTACCAAAACACACTATGGTTAACCATTGTTGTTGATGTCGCGCGAGTATGTGGGACGTTCTGGGCTGCGCGAGCTGAGTGCGTCTCACTGACCATTGAACTCGCAGCACCACAGAGCGCGAGCTTGCGGGTAGTCTACTATAGAGACGCTACACATATAAAAACATATTCTGTATTAGCTGGTGCCTTGTTGGATACAGTGCATCAAATCATAATTTTGTGACACAGCCCTCCTTAACCTATAACTGTATTATGGTTCAGGTGACAAGATCCTCCTCTTGTACGCTCTTTACAAATGGATAGTCCCTTACGTCATCAGCATTGCTTGTCCTATTATAACGAGTCCATGCCATTTTCCTCATTAGTATAAGGTAAGATCCCGTACCTAACAATATTATTTTGAACACAACTTTCAAATGCATGCTTGTGGACATTTAAAGAACTGAGGTGTGCTATTTTTAAATTAAACAAGCTGTAGCTTCATATAGCAATTAGACAGCATTGTGTATTAATGAGCAAGATGTTAGAGCCTCTGTCAGTGCACATACGTTTTGAATATTGGTTTGAGAATGTGCATTGTGTAAGTGAGTCTAACAAACCACAATACCTATTCCCGCTTTCCATGTTTAATAGAATAAAATGACATATTTGGTCTCTGAGAGTTAGTGTCATTTAATTATTTGTGCCTAAAAGTCAATGCAAGGATATTCATGTGTATGGGCAAATTGTGGCAATTTCAAGAGCAGTATTCAATCTTAGAGCAAAACAGTACAACCTGAGAATATCATTTTGTCCTAAACCCCCGATGAATGAAACTTCCCATCAGTTTTCAGTATGAAAATGTTGACAGCACAGATTGAAAACAAGTGTCCTTGTTTTTTGCAAACTGGGCAATTCTGCTGTAGTTTATCACTCAGATCAGAGAGACAGCTTTCCAAGACGAATGGCTGGCTGAATGGATGTGGAGGAGAGCTGCAGCCAGGCTTGCTGTAGTGAGAAGAGATGATGGGTGTGCATGAGGGAGTAGGACCAAACTGGCAGTGGTTTATGCTGACTCTCCACACATCCATCTACTACAATCTGTAGCTAATCAATCTAAAGTTAGAGACAACAAGGATAGAGAATAAAGCAAGCATAAACAGTAATTGTTCTTTGCATGTGCATATAGTACAAGTCACACTTTAGTCTTGGTGGTATTATCAAGCAGTGTATTTTATTGTTTACCCCGGCCACAAACACGTCTCTATTCTTATTTACATTCAACATTTAGGTAGATAAAGAAAAAATAACCTTTCTAAAAAATAGTCAACAAACAAGAACCTGGAGGGACTGGGCACAACGCGGGCACCTTTATCCAAATATGCACCTAAATCAAACACTTTAAGATGGCTTCTAACATGCCATTTACATGGGTCATTGAGGTTTTTAAAAGGATGTTTATTATACAATTGAAAGTGAGGAACTGCAGGGGTTATCATCTAACTCTTAAGTCAGTCTCCCTGTCAGGAGAGACTTTCCCTTGAAAGTAAAAAGACTGTCAGAGGCTTTGTTAACTTCTTTATCTGTTTTATTGTTGGTGATTCATTTAAGGATCATTTCTGTGAAACTTCTATTCATTTGGATGCTAAAGCTGCCCTCCTCTCACCCCACAAGCATCAAGCCTCATTTTCATCTAAATAAGAATCGATCTTTCCTGCTGTGCACCATCCTCCCTTACTCACAACTCTCACGGTCACAACCCTGCTTGTCTTCTCTGTGCTTGTCCCCTGCTCTCTAGTCGCTCCCTTGAATACAATAACAAGAAAAATTCAGCATACCCCATGTTGGAGCTCAGAACTGCAGAGCAGGGAGTCATTCACACTCAATTTATTGTTGTCGATGTTAAAAGGGGGATTCTTCTCTGTTATCAGAGAATAATTAAGTATGAACATTAATGAGTGAATGGGTCCAAGTGATAGGAGTGATAGTGAACAAAGCGTTGACTGACTGGTACAATGTCAAAGCTTCGTTCTGCATCAGTGACCCAGCCAAATGCAAGAGATGGGGGTGAGTCACGGTGGGGGAGGGGCCTCCTCCTGAATGGTCAGGGGACACTGATGAAGTGAAATAGATGCAGCACCAAAGAGAGAATACATGTAACTGGGGGATGAGCGTGTAAAAAGGATGTACATAAAAAAGACTTTATGGATACCTTATATTCAATATTTATTTGTATTAAGTTGACTAAGTACATTTCAATTGATACATTGGCGTTTCTTCACAGGTTTAACAACATTATATGTATACACACCAACATGGTTCAGCTTCTCTTTGCGTGTCTTTTTAGTATATTCATAAATATGTAGTAATCAAACCACTTAAAAAGTGTCCTTCCAATACAAATGTCAGACTCATTTTTTAAGAAACAATCAGGTTGGTTCCCAATATAGAGATTATATATATTTTTATTTCATGAACAAGGAGCAATTACTTGTTTGGGGGGGATGTTTTTACAAAGGTTTTGGAAACATTTGCCTGTTCCTTAATTCCTAACAGCTTGCAGTCTAGTCTTAACAGCTTCAGGTTTTACAGGTAATACAATTAATGAAGGCCTTTCACCAAGCTTCTCATAACAGCTTCTCATAACAGCAGGTGGCAGTGGCTGGCTATAGCCAGCCACTGCCACCTGCTGGTCAAACACATTGACTACCTGAACTATTGCCACAGTCAGAAATGCAGCGGACAATATTTGTCAGAACAATCTTCTGACAAATAAATCATTAAAATATACCTGTATATAATAATTCCAGACAAAAAAAGACTTGGCAATGAAAGTTTTCAAATCACATGTCAGTGAATTTACCAGAAGGTACACAAATATATGAGCTTCATCAATAATCCATAATGAGCCATGACCAATTAGATGATCTGTTGCTTGTGCTTGCCTCCGGCCAAAGGGACTATGTAGTTGTCGAGGGTAAAGGTGCAGCCATGAAGATCCTGGATTCCAGCCTCTGCCGCTGTTAGGTAAAAGTAATCACAGTGATTGTTAAATTACAGCATTCCAGTTTATTCAATAGAAAAAATAAAAGATAAATAAAATCCTTACCCAATCTGCCACTGGTCTCTTTCACCAATAACTGTGACTGCTCCTTGATGGATGAAAACTCTTTAACCATCTTACTTTGAGTGTCCATCTACACATACAAAAAGAAACAACTGATTACATAACATGGAAAAGCAATCAAATTAAAATAAATCACTTGGATGTTACTTGCTTTTTAATGTTTGATGCATTCATAATTGAGAACTAGTCAGCATGTTTACAGTGTAGTATAGCAAAACATATTCATAAGAAATCAAAGATCCATCTAAGTTAAGGTTTAGAATATACACAGAAACTCAGATCTTTAACCAGGGCTGTGTGGGTGATCAGTGCTGGCAACAAAAGCAAACAACTTCTTACGCTCATTCTATTATTTATATGTTTCTAAACTTTGATTTGTCCAAAAGAACATTTTTCCGAACTAAAATCTCTTATGTAAAAAAAAAAAACATTGAAACTCTGGCAAAAAAGAAATTGTCTTTTTAAAGCATTTATCATGTTTCTGCAATACATCAACATTATTACTATGTAGCAAAGCATATTGTAATTAGTCATCAGATAAGTCAAATGTGGATTTATTATTATTCCATTGGTTCCCAAAGTCCAAGGTATGATTAGGAAAAATGCCAATGGCAACATTTATTCTGATTGGTTTAAAGTCTTAAAGCTGGCATGGACTGCCAATAAGAGAGAAGCATCTGCTTAATGTTTCATCACTCTCACTGCAGCCAGCTTCTATATTTTACAATACGCCGCCATACGTACGCCGTATGTGAGAACAATGTAGTATTTATAAAAACGTTCAGCTTTTGCTAAAATTGTCTATAGTTTGTACTGTTACTAGGACTAGGAGTAAAGAGATTAAAGTGTAATTTCCAACCTACAATCATTGTCATAGTGTGAAGCATGGGCCGTTGTCGACAGAGCAGAGCGTTGTAGTCGGGTTGGCTCTGAATGCAATGGTACTGTGATGACTGGGCCACAGATGCTAAGTCTAATGATATGCCTCCTTCCTGGCCCCGTTCCACTTTCCTGAAACAAATAAAGAGAACATTATTGAAACACAATTGAGAAGATAATATTGGCACACGCGAACACAGTATTGCTACAATATTCCTCAATGAAAGTGTTCATGTTCACCTCTCCAGTTCCTCTGCTTTACTCCTGTGTTTGTTCAACAGTGCCTCCCAAGATTCACTTTCAGCCTGCAGCCTGAAAAAAAATCACAGACTGGTAAACAAAATAATTTAATGTGTAGGTCACATCATGTTTGTTTTTAAGATTGAATGTATGGTTATTGGTGCATGTAATATGTGTGTGCTGAAGTGATATAGAAACATACCTATTGATAGCCTTCTGTAACTTTTCGCTGGCTCTATGAACTGCAGGATCACTAGAATTGAAGCAAATAACATGAAATAAATCCAGTAATAAACATTAATTTGTATGTCAAAAAACAATTAAATAAATATGATATAATTCATGCACAGTAGTAAAAAAAAAAGGCGATTATACCTGGCTGCTTTAGCAGAGAGTTCATCATTCCCTGGTTCTTTGCGTATGCTTTTAGCAAGATGTCCCCAATCTTTCTCCATGTGCTCAACTGCACCAAAGACAACACGGAACACATATAAATAACATTAACTTAATATTTCTTTGACAGTTATTTATGTTGAAATATCCACAAGGTGAAGCAGCATATCCTCCAACCTTGTTTTTGAAATGACTCCAGTGAGCTGTTCGGTACTGATATCAGCAAATTCTGAGTTCTTTCTATTGCCATCTAGAGACAAAGCAGAGTTAATTAGACAGTGATTCATTAGTCTTAGAGGCTAATTAAAATGAACTTTATGTTCTCTTCCAACCTAACATCAAGAACTTTACAGACTACTCATTATGCCCAGAGGATTAACCTTTAAGACATCCTTTGTGCAGAAGGTTTAAAATGCTTGAGTGGTGTTCGTTCCAGAGCCAATGCCCATTATTTGTTATTACCAAGTGGTTCATTTTATAATCCAACATGTGTCCACATATTTTCAGTTAAGTGAAAAAGATTATCTTTGTCTCAAATCACCAATAGAGACCTGAGAGATGGACCTATAACAGGGGTGTACAAACTACGGCCCGCAGACCATTTTTGAATCG